AATATTCATTTTTCGATTTTTGTAAAATGTTGTAACTTTACTTTTCTAATATGCCTCATATATTGTGAACATAATATATACAAGTACGTTTCTGCCACAAATATGCATAAGAGATCATTAGTAAAAAGGATCTCTTGACTAAGAGGAAAATCGTCTGTTTTTACCGATTAATTGCAATGTTTGTAAACGAATATTGCATATATTATTTTTACAGATATGGAAATTCTTTTCAAAATCAAAGTAAGACCCAATAATACTAATCTAGTATAGAATTTATGTTATGAATGACAAACATTTTTTAAATTGGAATCTTTTTTATCATTTCATAGTTCAATTCATATTGGTCATCATCCAGAACTATTAAGTTGTAACAACATTTACTTAACATATATAAACTCTGCAATCAGTACTTACAAAGTTGAAAGTTAACTAATAGAATATACGAAAAAATATCGAGTTTTTAGAAATTATATTTATACATCCAGTTCTATACAATACCGTTTTACAAAAATTTATGTGTATGTGTACGTGAGATATAGCAATGTGTAATGATGTGTCGATGACACGTAGCTCGTATGTATGTAAGTCTTATTGAATCGATAAAACAAGAATTCGGGTTCAGTATTCATTTTTAAGATCCCCCTAAAGTTCATATCAGACTACTGACTTTGCAAGCGTGTTCGATTGTCTACTCTGACTGTCGATCTATAGTGAACTAGTCAATCAATTGTTAATTGTAATTAGATCATTATAGGCGGTAGTCAGCTAGAGTTGGCAATCGAGTTTGCCTGCCAGAATCGATTTGATACAGGCTTAGAACTCTTTAGCAATTCTCTGTTATCTTTACAAACTCTATATGTATTTGTATATGTATAATATGTATATAATATATATATTTATATTAATGTATATAAATATAAAATTTTGTAAGTAGTGAGTATTTCGCCTGGTTTCATATTTCAGTTTTATATTTTAGTTAACAGTTTTTTTTCTTCCTTTGCAATAGTTGTAAAACTATAAACAATCAAATTGTTTAAAATGAATAAAATTATATTGAATTAACAATTTTTTAACAGAATCAACAGTTAGTTATTTTTGTCCTCAATCTAAGGATTGAATTCGGAATTCGAACGGAATTCGATTTCTGTATTCACATTTTTAAAGTAATCTGAATATTTATTCGATGACATTTTCCTTAACAATTCTATATTGCGACAAAAATATATATTCGCTTTCCAAAAATATTTAATTTAGATTTTTGGATTGAAAACGGAACATCATCAATTTTTATATTTTTTGGTTTTTAAATATAAGATTTTTTCAAGTTATATCAAGCTAGTCTATCTTTTTAAAAAGAGTATATTGAGCTTCAATAAGTGCAAAGTAAGAGTGCACTGTTTCACTCAGAAAGAGTACGTTTATTTTTGAAACAGTATAAATAATAGCCCTAATTACAATAGAGAGAATAATTTGTAGGTAAAAATAAATGGTTGTAAATAGTTGAGATTACAATAAAAAATGCAGTATATCGACGAGATAAGAATGTCATATAATTTTTTAAATGTAAGTATCAGTTTCATGTAAAATTAATTAACTTTAAGGATGTATTGCAACAAATTATTCTTTAATTTATTTTTAAATGTTTAAAAACATATTAATTAAACTATACTATTAATTAAAAAATAATTTATTGCGTTTACTAGTCAAAGAAAATCTTAAAATTACTTCTCTTTGAGAATATTATTGTATATAATAATCAAAAT